GCCTGTAGTCCTCTTGCCTCACTTTATTTTCCTTCAGGCACTTAGGTCTCCCTGGGATGTTATATATTTATTTGTCCGCCTCCCTTCCTAGAATGTCAGTTCCAGGAGGGCAAGGCCTGTGACAATTTCACTCACCCCCGTATCCCAGTGCCTAGAACGGTGCCTCTTGTAGGGTGGACAGTTATTGAATAAATTGCCATGGAATAATTCCCATCCTTGCCCTAATGGAACATGTCTGGTTTAGATGGTAAAGTTCCCGGAAGCTCCCTCCAACCCCTCCTGAAAGGAGAAAGGGCACACCTGAGAATCCAGTGGGTTTCGTCAACCTGGAGACACTTGACCATCCTCTGGAAGCTTCGTTGCCTCCCTGGAATGCGGCGAGAGCTGGCTCGCTCTCCAAGTTCCAGAGCACCTCTGCTGGGATTTCGCATCATCCTGCTGAGATCCCGGTGACGTGTGCCGAACCCCTGGGCCTGTGCCCTGTCGCAGTAAACAGCGTGGAAATACCGCGGTTAAGATCTCATTCCAGTTGACAAGGCTTGTCGGCTGAGTGCCCCAGCTGAGACAGAGCAGAGAAACCTGAACCAGATGGCTGGTGAGGGGGTGGCCTTGCATGGGAGGCTGCCTCACTGGTTTGGAAGCCAGCCTCACCACAGCACCCCATCCTACTGGCAGCAGCCAGAGAACCCCCCCCCCCTCAGGAGCCCGCACCTGCCTCAGGGCCAACTGGCTTTGTGGGGTGAGGTGGGGAAAGGAGGAGGGGACCACACCTCCAGGAGCCAGAAGGTCTGAGTGAGTTCTGTCTGCCAAAATGACCCTATTTCCCCAGATGGTGATGAATCGCAGGTTTAGACCGCTGGGCGGGCCCATGGAAGTCATGTAATACAGCTTCTCTGTTCCACGGGCGGGGAAACTGAAGGCCAGACAGGGAGGGGGACAACCCCCCCCCCCCCCCCCCCAGAGCCTCCAACCATCCTCCACCCATCAGTCCGGGCATTTCGAACCAAGCAGAAGTTCTAGGGGACGCAGGCCTGGGGGACCAGGGACTGAGGGCACTGAAGCATAGCTGATTCCCTTGAGCCCGTGGTGTAGGAGAGCCTCGGTGGGTCAGGTAGGATTGGAACGGATTCTTTACAGACTGGCCAGGTTTCAACAGAGAACAAAGACATTCCTGGGGTGCGGGTAAGGGGCTGGGTTAAGTTTGGCAGATGGGCATTTCTTTGGGGCCCTTCGTAGAACAGTGTGGCTAGTGTGGGGTTGGTACGGTGGGGAGGTGGTGGAAAGTGAGGTGCAAGGCCTTATTCTGGTGGTGAGGAGTCAGCCTCGTGCACAGCAGAAGCATTAAGGGCCAAGGACTTCGTGCTTGGGAAGGATCAGGGAACACAGGAGTGTGCTAGCTGGGAGGTTTCTTTCCAGGCGTCCCCCGCCCCCACCCCGGGCAGCTCTGTCCCTACAGGTGGCCATCTCTCCTTGCCAAGTGCGGATGCTATTTTGGGATACGGAACCTGCCAGTGGAGGGGGGCCGGGCTCGGGGGGCCCCACCTCCTGCAGGGATGCCGAGGGTCTGGGAAACAAGAGCGGGGCCTGGGAAAACAGGCCATCAAAGCTGCCTGGGCAATTCCCTCCGGCCATGGGCAGGAGAGGGCTGCAAGGTCACAGCACACAGCTAAATATAGGGACACTCGGAGGTGGAAGTGGTTCCTGCCGGCCACAGGGGGCTGTCCAGTTCCTTCTCACAGGAGCAGGCATGAGGCTCTTGGGAACAGTGTTTGTGAGATGGAGCTCCAAGAGCCAGACCCGGTGGCGGGCTCAGGCATCTGGAAGCCTTGGTCTGGATTTGGCCTCCCATCCCCATCTACAGCTGGGGTCATGGCATGGGTTACCCTTGCATTAGGCATTAATTCCAGCCGTATCTATCAGCCCTCTGACCTGGGCTAGGACCTGGGCTTGATCTCGGGCTCAGAGGTCCCTACTGTTAGGAACAAATGCTTTCCTGGGGGAGACCAACTTGTAAATGGCCAACCGGCTGTGAGTAAGTGGAACAAGGACTGACCTTAGAACATCAGTACCTACCCCACTAGGATGTGAACTCCCAGAGCGAGGGATTTTTGTCTCTTCGGTTCACTGTTATATACCCAGCAGCCTATAGATCAGTATCTGGCACATAGTAGGTGTTTAATAAGCCTTTGTTGAATAGTTGAATAAACAACTCTGGCCTGGGAATCAGACTCTATGGATGGGTAGCCTGGGGGTGGCTCTTGAAGAATGGATAGACTTTTAAGCCAGTCCCTTGGGGATGGGCATATGAGATAAAACGCCTTGTATGAGAAAGACACAAAAATGTGCTGCGTACTCAGGAATATTGAATCAAGATGTGAGGAAGACTGAAACAGCTCTTGAGGTGCTGCGAACATGGCCAAGGGCCCTATTGTACAGCCATAGAGGTCCAAAATGGGGTGCACAAGGTGCTCCATTCATGTAGAAAGAACATTCTAGAGCTTTTCTGTAAACTTATTTTTACCTTTTTTGTAAAAAGGTAAAAAAAAGTTTAAGTTCTACTAATAATAAATAGCCTGACATCTGTGCCCTCGTGTTGCCTGCGGTGTGACAGGTCACGTGTTCCGTATCCCAGGTCTGCTGTGAAAAAGCAGCATGGAGTCCACTGTGTGGGCTTGGCTGACAATGGCACCCCCATCTCCAGTGATGGTTCTCATCAACCTGCCACAGGAGTCATCCAGGCACTTAATATTAGAAAGGGAAAGTCTTTACATTATAGAATCTTTTACAAAGCTTACCATCGACAAAGGCAGGGGTCACAAAAATCTTTTGTACCATACAGACATTTCCTGGTTGTTTCATAGCAAAATACTTCACCCCACCTTAAAGATGAGTTTTACTTTTGCCTGTTAAGAAAAGACAAACGATCCAAATGTGCTGGGTCTTTCTGTGACAGCAAGGTATGTTATCCAGCAGATACTAAAAAAAATACATAGTACCACAGGTAAAGATGTGGTTTTAAGACCGAGTGAGGTGACCCCTTTTGGAGAGAAATGTGCTGGAGAGGCAGCACTTTGCTGACAGGTATTCTGGAATACTGTTGATGGAGTGGTTCTCAGAGTATCACCCGTCTATCGTATGCATGCATTTAAAAACGGGGGAATAAAACTTTTCAACTTGTTTTAAAATTTTCTAAATTCTGAATTCACTTGTCAAAAATACTGAAAAAAAAAAAATAACACCTTCTGGCTGGTTTGCATTAAATGACATCGTTAAACCAAATTTCAGCAAAAAACTTCTGCACCAAATTGAAAACTGCACTTACAATTTAGCCAGTGCAGCCAACCACACACTTCTTCCCTGTGGAGCTCCCGCTCTTGGGAGGTGTTTTCTTCAGCCATAACAAGCAATGAACCAAGTGGATAAATGTGACTTTAGTACCAGATTCTTAAATGAATGGATCACAACATTAAACCAAGATTAAAAAAAATTTTTTTTCATGTTTATTTATTTATTTCGTGTGTGAAACATAGAGATGGAACAGGGGAAGGGCAGAGAGAGAGAGAGAGAGAGAGAGAATCCCAAGCAGGCTCCGCGCTGTCATCGCAGAGCCCGATGCAGGGCTCGAACCCACAAACCGTGAGATCATGACCTCAGCCGAAATCAAGAGTCAGACACACTTGACCCAACTGAGCCACCCAGGAATCCCTAACAAAGATTTTATTTAAAGATGAAATACATTTGGGGCACCCAGCTATCTTAGTCGGTGGAGCGTGTGACTCTTGATCCTGGGGTCGGGAATTCAAGCTCCACATTTGAGTGTAAAATCAAAAATTTTTTTAAGAATTAAAATTATTTTTAAAAAATCTTAAAATAAATACATAAAAATAAGACACATGTAACCAGAATTTTTGGTAATAATATAATTAGAGCAAGAAGCTTTTTCAAAAAAATGTTTCTTTATTTACTTTTGAGAGAGAGAGAGCATGTGAGCAGGGAAGGGGCAGAGAAAGAGGGAGACAGAGAATCCCAAGCAGGATCCATGCTCAGCACAGAACCCGACGCGGGGCTTGATCTCACGACTGGGAAATCAGGACCCGAGCCAATATCAAGAGTCAGAAGCTCAATGGACTGAGCCACCCAGGTGCCCTAAGAAGCTTTCTTTTAAACCATTAAATAAAATGAAAACAAAGCATAAAATATTATTATTTAATCTTGTTTTTTTAGTTTCTATTTTTTGGTAATGGGTTTTATAATTCATCCTCTATATTTGTATGTGGGCTATGCATATAATTTATAAATAAATATATGCATACGTTAGTTAGATTGCATGAACTTTGCTTTTCCTAGTGGGAGGCCGAGATTCAGCCGTGGCCGAGAATGACCAGGACGCTAGGGAGTGTTTCCAGAGGGAGGGACGGGATCCATTCGAGGCCACGTTGGAGTCTGGAGGCCTGGAGTCTCGAGGGAAGACTGAGCTTTGCTCCTGACTGACTCAGGAGGGAGCCTGACCTGGGCCTGGGGCTGAGGGCAGGGAGGAGTAGGGAGGGGAGAATGCCGGAAGTTCTGGACAAGGCAGGAGTGCACACTTTGTTAATAGATGGGATGGGGCGGGGAGAGCTTGGGAGGTAACCATGCTGTTGCCCAGGACCTGGTCCCTGTGACGAGGTCCGTCCAGGCTAGCTGGCCCCGAAGGCCCAGACACCTCGTCCTCCAGCCTTATTCTCCTGCACAGCCCGTCTGAGCCAAAGAGGGCTCACAATGTAAGTCCTCATGCCAGCAGCCAGTGGGGGGGGGG